AAAGAAAGAAGACTTGCTAAATTGGAGGATCAACGAGAAAAAGAAAGGCTACGAAAGAGAAAGAGCAGACAAAAAATAGCAGAATCAAAATCTGTAGTTGTTACATCACCCCCATACAAATCTGCGAGCGCTCTTGGAAAAGCTGTACAAAAACTTTTAACAAAAATGAATGAAATCCCTAGCCTAGAAAAAAAACTTAGTGAAAATGCATTAGATGCTTTAGCTGTAAAATTGGTTCCTGGTTTTTACCAGCGTGATGATATATCCCGTCAAGCACCCATAAAAAAGAAGCACCATTGTGGTGAGATTAAAAAACAAGAAAGAAACTGTGCAAAAACGTCATTTGTATATGAATGTTAATGAAGCTTGTGCTATTTTTAAAGGTGATTATCCTGAAGAATCAGTTTGAAAATCAAAGTTTACTAGTTTACGCCCACCACATGTGCTTTTGTCTAGTTCAATATCAAGAGACGTTTGTTGCTGTCAACGACATCAAAATATAATCCTTATCCTTGAAAACCTGCACAAGTTTGATTCAAGTTTTCGATTGTATTCACATTAATTTCTTTTTAGCATTGTATGTGGTAGTGAAAAAGAAATTTGTTATAACAATATATGTACAACATCCAAAGATGCTGCAAAGTTTCATAATCTATATGTTTTGAATGAAATTGACAAGAATAAATGCATTACATGGTACCAATGGGAAAAAGTTGCAGAAGTTCATGAAAAAAAATATATTAAAAAAATTGAAAAAAAGAGAAGAGTTGATGATCTTTGCAGGACCTTTTCAAAATCTTTACCATTTCTTTGGCATTATTTTACTAAAGAGAAACAATCAAAGACATATCGTGATCTTAAGATCCAACTTCAAAGTAATCCAGACACAGCTGTTTTTCAAGTAGATTTTGCTGAAATTTTTTCTATTTTGCAGCAAGATGAAGTGCAGTCAGTCTATTGGCACAATGTCAAGTTACTGTGTTTACTGCTGTATTTTGGTACCAAAATTCATGCTCATCAGCTGTTATAGTTTCAGATGATTTAAGCCACTCGAAAGAATCTATTTTTGTATTTGTTTACTTTGTTATCTAACCATATTGAATCAAGTGTTAAAATACTACAGGTTTGGACAGACCGGCCGAGTAATCGATTTATTTATTTATATAACAATCATTTTATTGCATCAGCAATACCCTGGTTGGAAGAACAGCACGATTTAAAATTATTCTGGAACTTTTTTTGCTTCTTCACATGGGAAAGGTAGATGCTATTGGTGGGACAGTTAAAAGAATATATATATACGCAAACGCAAAAAATAATTCACAACGCAAAAAATAATTCAGAGAAAATTTATAATAACTGATGCCATAACTTTTCATGAAGCTGTTAAAAAAGAGACTAATTTCAATGTCTATTTTGTTTCTATGGAAGATGTTATTAATACAGTAAAAAAATTTAAAATTGATGAGTTATTTACAAAAGTACCGGCAAAACCAGGAATATATGCAGCGCACCTAATTCAAAACAATAATGGGAAATTAGAAATGTGACCCTATTCAAGTGTCAAGTATTTAGTGAAACAATTTACGTCTTCTGATAAAATCATCGAAAAACTTTAAAACGTTGTATATATGACAGCAATATAATATGGACGCGATTTGACACTAATATAGTATGGGCATGTTCTGAAAATTATTATATGTAAGAACTATTTTTATGAAGATGTAATTATATATTTGTCTAATACCTCTCTACTATTACCTATTTTAATATTAAAATATTGAATGAGGCTTAAGACAAAAAAAAAAAGACGTTTTTCATGCTGTGATGGTCGTGGAATTGCTCTTTTACTTCTGAAATTTTGATTGGACTTATGTCCTTACCCATACCCATGTTTATTTTTTATTGAAATTTTCAATTACAACCTATTACACTAAAAATTTTGATAAAATGGTACTATATATTAATTCTTGCTATTTGTAGTAACTTAATAAAATGTATTAAAAATAATAAAGCATTTTTCACTCAAAAAAAAACTTTTAAAATATAAAAAAAAATATATGTGACAGATCAACCATGTTTTTTTTTTAAAAATGACAAAAAATCACATTTCTTACATAAAACACACCAACTTCGCAATTCAATTGCAAAGTTGGTGTGTTTTAAGTTGGTTCTACAATTGCCAATTGTAGAACCAATGTAGTTAGAAAATAGTAGAACCAATGATATATTAAGAATATTTACTTTTAACATATCATAGGTTAAAACAATTCAACTTAAATCGTTATATTATTAACTTAGAATGGTTAACATTAACTTACATCGTTATAATATATGTCTGAACATTGAAACTGAACACACAATAAATTTTAAGATGTGTTTACTCCAAATGCAATAAAGTCTTCTGTCTGAAATGTTTTTTCTACGTGCAGAAAAATTCTATCGAGTTTAAAGAAATTAGATTTAAAAAGGTTTTTGAGAATGCAGATGTCAAGGTTGGGGTAAATGGAGAGCAGGATTATCTAAAAGTTACCTTATCAATTACTAGTGTGTAAAAGTAATTGATAACCATGATCTGTCTGAAATTTTTTTTCTACATGCATAAAAATTCTATTGAGTTTAGAAAAAATAGTTTCAAAGACCTTTTTATTCACCACATGTAGTTTAATTTTGACTTGAGATTTTAGTCCATATAAAGAGCTTTACAATAGTATCATTATAATATTGTATTATATTTTGATTAAAAGTTGATAAAATAAAAGATTATTTAGTGACTTAACATTGTTATGTTATTGTTTATTATATTCAAAAAATTATTTCTGTTATATGCAATAATGTTGATGAGTTAGTTGCAACAGCTTTTTAACATAGATATTTTATATCAGAAAATGTTAAAGTTATAATTAGAGTAGATGGAGTATCTTATCAATTACTTTGAAGTCAAGCATTTAATGTGAAAAAAAACAGTAAAAAATTTAAGTGAAAAACATTTAAGTGAAAAACATTTAAGTGAAAAAAAACAGTAAAAAAATATTCTGATGAGTATAAATGTAAAGTTTCAAAGGATTTGCATGAAAATCTGTTTAAGAACATTAAGTGTTTCTATTTTTAAATAATTATCTGTCTACAATAAACTTACCAGAGTGTCTTATAAAGGCAGAATGAAATGCATATTTATCAGGACAAATAATTTTAAAGGTAAATATATGAAAGGTTTGACGACTTTAGCAATTTGGTTTTATACATGTTTTAAAAAAGAAAAGGTTCAAATATTACTCTTAGAGTTCTAATAGTGGAGCAACATGGAGAAGAGTTTATTGTTATAGAAGAAGAAATGTTTGTATATTTAAAAAAGCAACTGTTAACATTTAAACTGTACTGATAAAAAAATGGTTCTTAAATACTTTGGATAACGGTTAAAGATATTGGATTGTGTAATCAATGGAATTAGCTCATCAAGATTTCAAATAGTTTTGGTAAACAAATATATATATATTAGTAAACATATATATATATTGTATAAATATAATATATATAACAAATATATGTATATTATATATATAAAAATATATGTATATATTGTTTCTACTAAGTATAATATTTATGTTATACTAAGTAAGTTTTTTCTAAAAAAATACTTTTTATTTTAAAATGAATTTCAAGTTTTCAAAGAAACGCAGGCTAGGGTTGCCATATAACCAGCTTTTATGAAGGAGAATACAGTAAAAAAAAATATTTTTACAAGTTTGGCACTGTATTCTCCTCCGTAAAAACAGGACACCTGGTAACCCTACGCAGGCCAGATATCATACTAAATTATAAAGAACATATAATGGAGTACTGCTACATTGACTGATTTATGGAGAACATGCTAGGGAGTGCTGCTACATTGATTGATGATTTAAGTTAGGACAATTATAAATCAGTCAATGTAGAAGCGTTCCCTTGCATTTTCCACCTAAATTAGTATATCTGATTTGCGTTTTTTAGAAAATTCTAAACCTTATTGTAGTTTTACATCAAAATCGACTTTATAAGTTTAGCGTTAAACCCCTCATATTTTCTAATGCAATTCAACATAATTTATATACAATCATATTCTCTTGGTATTTACAACTATGACTTTATATTATATACAACTATTTACAATTAAGGCAAATCGATCGTTAACGATCATAAAATATAATTATGCTTTACACTTATTTTGAGCCATACTATCTTCTGCTTACCCCTATGGCCTTATAAAATTCATGAATAATTTGAAAATGAAAAAATGATGAATAAATAGATAAATAAAAATTCAAAGGAAAAAAAAAGGAATGAAAAAAACGAATAAATAAAGCATTTTAAGAACATCTACAATCAATTTATAAGTCATGCTTTAAGTTTCAAATTCAAAAGCGCTTTATATTGTACAGTACCAATCATGATTTAGAATAATTTATTATTCTAAATAACAATATTAACAATTTTATGCTTATAAGTAACACAAAAAATGTTATCAATTAAGTATTTTTTTAGATTTTTTTTTACTTTTGTCTACAGCATGGTAAAGACTTTGGCCCACTGTGCAAATGCAAAATCCAACATGCAATGAAAACTTTGGCTATTTTGTTAGTTAAATTAAGTTAAAGAAAATGTAACTGCTCAGAATTAAAAAAAAAATAAAAAATAAAAAATGACATGCTAAAAAGAATATATTCTTGCAACAAAAATTGAAATTTAATAATGCAAAAATTATCTAATTTAAAAAAAAATAAGTTTAAAAAAATTATTTTAATTCTTTCTGTAATGTTTTTTATATAAAAGAAAGCATTACAAAAACCTGTATAAATTTGCAAATGTGGAAATTTATATATATATATATATATATATATATATATATATATATATATATATATATATATATATATATATATATATATATATATATATATATATATATATATATATATATATATATATATATATATATTAAATAATGATAATAATAAACTTAGAAATATGAATTGCGACTTTGGAACAACTCAAGCAAGTCAAAAAAGTTAAGTTTGCAAGGTGAATTACAATATTTTAATGGTGATAGTTGGGTGAATGTTTGTTCTAGTGGATGGAATGATGAAAACTCTTTCGTGGCCTGTTCAACCTTAGGATTCACAAAGCATGAATCGGTATATATTTTTTACTTGATTGCTATCACCTTTATATTTCTTTTTTTTAACAAAACAATTTTTTTCTTTTATGATTCTTTTATTTTTTCAACTTCAAAGTGTCTAACCAACATGATGTTATACAGTTGAAACAAACATGATGTTATACAGTTAAAACAAACATGATGTACAGTCATTTAAGTCTTTTTTAGCAATGTTTATTGTAACATTGTAAAACATTGTGTGAGCATTGCAATGACAATATCAAATTAACATCATAAGTATTTAGTGATCTATATTTATTGAACAACATCAACTCATTTATAGCACATACCACTATCAACATCATTAGGTTTGATACCAATATAAACAGAATAAATAACTATATTGACTTTTATGTAAGCCAAAAATTTAGATAAAAAGCAAGACTAGAGTATTTAAATTTTTTAGCATCTTTTATTTCGATTTACAATAATTTATTATATTATTTGGGTCTCATATTAAAAACGTTTTCATTCACCAGCAATGGTAAAAGACATATAGTACATAGAACAGAAGTTAAGAAATATATGAGATATTACTACAAGTCTTTTTTTTTCTGTTCTCAACTTTTGGAAAAGAATGAAACTGAAAACAAAATATTATATTGTTAAAATATGTATTATAAAATAAGTATCATAATTAAAATTCAATGAGCTACATCTGTCTTTAGTTCAATGTCTGTGTTTTTAGGGATTTTGTTTGACATTTTTTGATTTTAATAGTTGTTTTTAATAATTGTATTTAGCTTAATTTTAACTGCTTTTAGTAATTTTTCACTGTTTGTATTAACACTACCTAAAATAATTCTTTCTCTTTTTCTGTTATAGAGCTCAAAAGATTTAAACCCTTATATTGTTTCTGAAGATCCTTTTTTTAAATGCACAGGTGAAGAAACAAGTTTATGGGATTGTAAATTTTCTCATGAGAAATTAGAAAGTTGTACAAATCAACAACCAATCAAAATCACCTGTAAAAAAAGAGTAGAGTATTTAGTAAGTTGAGCATTTTTTTGTGTGTGTGTAAAGATGCTTGAAAAATGAAGTATCATATAGATACTTCAGATCATATAAAGGGTGTGTTAAATTTAATATGTGATATATAAAAATGGTTTGTATAGATACTGATAAAGTATATATTTATTTATAAATAAATGTATAAATTCATAAATTTTATCATTAACAAACACATATTTAGAAGAACCAAATTCGCCTTAGAGGGGGATATAGAGCAGGAGAAGGACGAGTAGAAATTTTTAATGGTACTACGTGGGGTACAATATGTGATGATGGATGGGACTTGATTGATGCCAGTGTTGTATGTAAAGAATTAGGATTTGGTTCAGCTGCTGAAGCTAGTCACTGGGCAGATCATGGTGAAGGTTTAGGAGCTGTATGTTTTAAACATATTTTGTAATTATTCATAGAATTTTTTATTGCAATATTTTTACGTTGCAAAAAATTTTATACTATATAGTATATAGCAGTTGTAAATGTTGTGCCTGTCATAATCAGAAATTTACAAATATATCAAGCTTGTTCAAATTTAGCAACTTCAAATTTGTAGCATTTTAAAACTAAAGTGATTTAATATAGAAAAGCTTTAGCTAAGCATGTAAAATATTTTTTTCTTTCTTTAAAGGCATTGTAAGATATTTAAAATACAATATAAACCTAAAGTTTATTAACAGTCATGAGTTCATGTAAACATGCATATTTAAAATACAAATAATAAATTTTTATATCATAAATCTGCTTTTTTTAAGTTGTCATAAAATCAAATTAAAAAATAAATAAATAAAAAGCAAAACTTATATAAAGTTTAAAACTTGAGAAAAACATTAATTTTAAATAAAAGCATGCCTGCCAAAACCCAACCCCAATAAGCCAATTTATGTACACTCGACTTATGGCTAGATAAATCAGTTGATATATTTACTCTTCACTAGATCTATGGGTAGACAGTATTGAAACTTTATGTTAATATTTCTTTAAAGATATTAGCGACTGATATCCAATGCAGTGGAAGTGAACGCTATTTGCATCAATGTATTCAATCAAAAAACACTTCTTTATGTTCCCACAGTGAAGATGCTGGCGTCAGATGTAATGTTCCACACATTGTTTATGAGGTTACATTTTTTTACTTAATATTAAGTATTTAAAGTATTTTATAGAACAAAAAGTAATAATTATTTTAATTTATTTACTGTATTTTGTTTATTCATTTTGCGTCATTTTGTGCTCAATTTTGTAAATATGGTGTATTATCTCCAATCATTTTGTGTCACATCTTTTGATCTTTTTTCTTATTTCCATTTGTGGTAATGATATATAAAAACAGACAAAATATTCCTTTTTATCTTTAGGATGTACGATTGATTGGTGGAATTAACAATTTTGAAGGAAGAATTGAAGTCACTTTTGATGGATCTACTTGGGGTGGTATATGTGGCATTGGATTTTCAGAAAGAGAGGGAAAAGTGTTGTGTCGACAACTTAGTTTAGGATATGTGAGTTGGGCATCCAAATCATATAAATTTGGTAAGATTTTAAACTTTTATAAGGATTTTTGTGTTTAATTATATAAATTAAAAGTTGACATAGTTTGCTTGACAAAATAAATTATCATAATGTATATTTACTTAATGCAAAATATATTTTTACCTAGTAGCATATATTTATTAACACAAGATGAATTTTTATGACTCAAACAAAAATTAGATAGGCATAAAGTTTATTTTTTCTATCTTTAAAATCCTTTATTAGATACAATGGTCATTTTATTTAAGTTTTTTAGATCAACATAACTTAAATAACAAAAAATATTTTTTGAATTTTTTTTTTGTTTTACTTTATGATACAGGTATAAACTACAAAAAGCTTATGTACAATGTTAAATGTATGGGAAACGAGAATTCTATAAAAGACTGTAGTTATAAAACATTTGGTTCATGTCGATATTATGATATGGCATCTGTTATTTGTACTAAATGTAGGTTTATTATTTTTAATTTAATTTTTAAGCCAAATAAGATTTCTTTAGCAGTTTAGATAAAAAAAAATTTTTTTTGATTTTATTGCTGTTATTAGAGATCGCCGGTTACAGTATACGGTATACTTTACCGTATAGTTGGTATACTAAAAATTACTATACCAATTAGTATACCTGTTATTTATGAAATATTTTTTAAATGATTTTATAATTCAATAATGATATTATCTTAATTGATTAAATAATTGTATTATATGTATTACGTGATTACTTTTTTAGATAAATAATACAATATTTATTAATAATAAATATAGTATTATTTATAGTAGTATTAAAAGAATTATCATTTATTAAAGTGTTTTTTTTTTGTAATTTAACTTTTGAAAGGTTTTTGAATTTATTTATTTAAATTTTAATTATTTTTTGTTCTTTTTTATTTGTTTATTGTATGTATAAAAGTAACATGTTTACTCTTACCTTGAAGTAAAATATTTAATGTCAGAACAAATTTACCAACATATCTCTTTTTTTGGAAAAGGTTCAACAAGAAAAATTTATTGCAAATATTGTGATAAACAAATTACAGCAAAATCAACATTAAGATGAGAGCAGCATTTGAGAGGATGTAGAAAAACGTCTGATGAGGTTAAGTTGTGCTTTAAAAAAATAAAAAAAGAAGTTCAGAGTGTTATAGTTGAAACAAAAGGATATGATAATATGGCTTCACAAACCTCTGAAAATTTAGTTTTCAAAGAATCTGGGCAGCCTGCTAAAAGAACTATGCTAAATTCATACTTTGACACTATAAGCAAAGATGAAATTGATAAGATAGATAAATCATATGCAAGGACATTTTTCCATACAGGAGTACCTTTTGCATTACCTGATTCTTCTGCATGGAAGCAACATCATGCTAATCTTAGACCTGCATATAAACCTCCATCTAGTAAATGTATAAGAGGGTGTCATTATAAAGATGCATTAAATGATGAAAAACATGCAATAAAAAAATATGTTGATAGTTCTGAATAAGTTAGTATAGTGACTGATGGATTTTCAAACATTAATGTGAATCATCTTGTTAGTTATTCAATTCATGTTGAAAATAGGACTATGAAACCTATTGCTTACAAAATTGAGCCTACTGGTCAAGAACAGCAAACTGGCATTAATATTGCAAAACGCAAAGAAAATGTAATTCTTGAAATAGGTGTTGATAAAGTTACAACCATTGTTACTGATAACGCATCAAACATGAGAGCTGCATGGGATATTATTGAAAAAAAATATCCAAAAATATTTTGTAATGGTTGTGCTGCCCATACAATAAATCTTTTAGTAAAAGATATTTGCCTTCTTCCTGAGTTTGTGGATATTTTACAAAAGTCTCCAAAACTGACAGCCTTTGTTAAACAAAGAACATCACTTATCAATCAATTTCGTATAATTCAAAATCGTGTTAAACAAGAAAACATTTGAAGAAAATGCGAGCATTATCACATGTAGTTTTAACACGGTGGTATAGTATCATACATCTGTTGCCCGTAATCTTGAAAACAAACTAGTTCATTTGAATTTAATTAACTCTGGTGCCTTCTCACGTGTATCTATATCAAAAAAAAAATTAGATTATTTAAACATTGTACAAGACAATTTTTGGGAAGAATGTCAACGTTTTACTAATGTTATGAAACCATTATCAAAATTAGTAGGTAAACTAGAATCCGATAGTTGTCTACTTTCTGAAGTTTATATAGAGTTTGTTAACTTAATGGAAATATGGAAGGAAGACGCAGTATTGAAAACTCTTGTTTTAAGCAGATGGGAATTTATTCACACGCCATCTATGGGATTTGCATACTTTCTTGATCCACGAAATCATGGTGGCAGAAATATGTATACTGAGTCTCCTCCATCTAGCAAAAGTGATCTTTTTATAGTACTTGAGTTGCTTCCAAAGTACATAGTTTAAACAAGAGGACTTTGCAATTATGAAATTTCAAAAAAAGAAATAAAATCATTTCAGAGGCTATGTGCAAATCCGACTCCAGATTTTGTAACTCAGATTAAATTAATGGATCCTGATATCTGGTGGGGAGTTGAGGGTGCAAGTAAATTTCCAAATTTAGCAAAGGTTGCACAAATAGTCTTTACTATTCCAACTTCTCAAGCTGCAAGTGAGCGAATATGGAGTTTGTATGATTTTATTCATTCAAAGCAAAGAAACTGACTTGCAAAAGATAAAGCAATTGGATTGGTTCTTATGTATGCAAATGCAACACAACAAAAAGAAGCAAATATTGCTGATATAATGCTTGGCAATACTAGGGATCACGATGAGAGTGATGAGAGTGATGAGGATGGTGTTAATGTTGATTTCACTTTAGAGACTTCAGTTGATACAAGTGATTTATTGTCACAGTTGGCTAATTAAATGCTTTATTTAATTACTAAGAAGTTTTAAAAATCTTTATATTACATCGACAAATCTTTAAATCATCGAAAAATATTAGTCATATTTTGTATACTATACAGTAAACGGTATACTAAAATTTTAGTATACTGTAAACTAGCGATCCCTAGCTGTTATACGAATAAAAAACTTTTTTTTCAATGCAGTATTGATAAAAATTAAAAATTGCTAATATTTTTGCAGATCGTATGTTTTACTTATTTTTTAATAACTTTTCATTTTTTAATTAAAATTTTAGATGTTCCTGATCTGGTAATGGATATTTCAACATTTGAACAAAGCATAAAAGTTGAAAGCCATATTATGTCTCAGCTAAAATGTTCTTTTGAAGAGAAATGTCTTTCGCCTATTGTTGATAACTCATATTTTTTAAATAGAAATATAAAAAGAAAATTGCTTAAGTTTACATCCCGGTTTCTTAATAAAGGAACAGTTGCTTTTCGACCAAATGTTCATAAAGAAAATTGGAAATGGCACAAATGTCATCAGCACTATCACTCACAAGAAACATTTGCTGTGTATGATCTTATAGGTATTATATATATGTACAAATAATAAAGCTAAGGATCACTCTGGTCTTGACAATATTAATTACTGCACATCTAGGTCTGCAATTCCCTTATGACAAATAGTGAAATAGCAATAGGCTTCTGAAAATGTTTTTTTAAGTCAAAATTTAGGCAGAGTGTACTTTGCAATTGTTGTCATTTGTATCAAAATGTTTAAAGTTTGTGCCACTGTGTGTAAAAAGGTTATTTTAAATATAATTTTTTAATTTTTTATACCTGTTTTATAAAGATATTTTTATATAGATACATTTACCAACTTTTTTTGCTGATGTGATTCCATTCTTTAAACTGAGGTTACTACCTCTTATATTTTTCAGTAGAAAAGTTTTAAAGACTTTCAATAGGTGTCATTAACAAGGACAAGTATAACATTTCATACTTGGATTTAATCTTATTACCCAATGGTTGAATTAAATGACAACGAATTGAAATATCTTGAAAAAAGTCTGGACTTCAAAATTTTAGTTTATGAAAAACTGTTTACTTTGTTTTCGTGAATTAACTCAACTTTGTTAGTAAAAAGTCATAAAAAACTAAACAAAAAACTTAATACTACAAAAGTGCACTATACTCACTGTGTAATAAAAATAATAACACTAAGGTTATTATTTTTTATAGCACACCTATAACTTAAATTTATAATTATTTTTTGTTCAAATAACACTTAATCAAGGTATTGTAAATAAAAAATGATTTAAGTAATTCCAAATTTTAATTGAAGTAGAAATGCATCTAACAAAAATGAAATAGATGTTTAAATAATATTAAAAAAACTTCAGGAACAAATACAAACAGTTTAGCACTTCTAAAGTGATAATAATGGTCCAGTAAAAAGTGTGTTTATTTTAAAATCAACCAATAAAAATTTTTTATTCCCAATTGGAAACATTTTTTTTTCTTTATCATTATTGGTTCAAATAACAGTTGAATGAAACTCTTACATTTATTTATTGATAAATAGTAAAAACCGAAATTTTTGAATATCTATCGACATAGATAAAGCATATATTTAAACAAAATAGAGTCCTAAATGTTCTTAAAAAGACAAAGCAATAATAAATTAGTAGAAAATCACTTATCAAATTTTTTTCATTTTACACAGTATTTCATCAATATAAGTTGCATCTTGTTGGGAAAAGGCTTCTGTATCCAATTTGACTGGTCCAAGAGCAGCAACAATGTTGTATAAAATGTTTACTTCATCATCACTGCAAATCAAATTTTTTTCCTAGAATAGGCCCTGATATATATAAAATTTCTAATTATATTTTGTTATTAGAAATTTGCGCTAGATTATGGTTACCTGTATCATTAGCTGGTAAAATTTTACAAAATTTTTTTAATGTCAAAAACAGTTTAAAATTAACTGATGTCAGCAATTAAATAGCTTTTTTCTTGTTTATGTAAAAATGTAAAAAATGGAGTCCAAAGCAGTTTAGTTTTTTTAGTAGTAATTGCCCATTATCTAGATTAATTCTGCTATTTAAAAAAAAACATTGGTACCTTTGTATTTTAAGAGCTTCACACACTTTTCGATCAAATTTTTTTGTTTCCGCTCTTATTTTTTTCACGTTCTCCCACTTTATTTCTTGCAATTAAAACTTATTAAGGGTGGCTATTACAGACTAGTAATGTTTTCCCTTGTTTCAACTTTTTAAATGTTGTTGAGTTCAAGCCTTAGTTTGATGTTTTGTTTTGCTTACTTGCCTATTCTCATTGAGCATTTGCATTCAATTAAATAAGTTTGGGGTTGACTAATGTGGCAATTTAGTTGTGCTTATCTATGTTAGTAATGTTCTTAAATTAAAATTTGCTTTGAAGACTTCTCTATAGCCAGCTTTCTCAAATATTCTTCATTTTGGGTATACTGATGGTATCCAAGTTAACAATACAGTAGGGAGGTTAACAGGAAGTAGTTCCTAATTATCTTGAACAAACAACACCCTACAATACAATATAACGAAATTGAAAAAGAAAATAGAACTTCCTTGATTTATCCATAATAAATTACACCAAAGGTAAATATGAGTTTAAAGTTTACAGAAAGGTGTAAACTTTAAACTCATGCTGCACTCATCTCTAAATAAATCAGTTGATAAAACAAAAGTGGAAAAACAATTAAATAAAACAAAATTTAAAAAATTGTTTTTTATATTGTTAATTACAATACATGTTTTGACTATTTTAAGAAAAATGTATTGTAATTTTATTTGTTCAAAAAAGATTTTTATACTTAAGTGGAAAAAATTAGTCTTATTTCTCAAGACAAAGACAAAAGCTAGGAGATGCCAACTCTGACATAAAACACCCCATGCCTTGGGGTTCTTGGCTGAGTAAAGGCTAGAGATGGTGTCTCTAGCCTTTTAAAAATACTCATCTTGGGCAGATGTTAAATGCATCTGGCTACTGCCTTGTAGAAGGCCTCCTATAAAGACTTAAGGGGTAAACAGATTTTATTTGTTGACCATCTTTGCACCCCTTCCAGTTTAGGATGTTGAATGCTGGATCTTCTTGACTCCATGCATGCATTTTGCTTGTGTCTCTGTTTATTATGACTATGAAACTCATTCTATTATCGCCTACCGAGGGTACAGCTCTAAAACTCAGTTTTATGGTTCTGAGGCCGGCTGGTAGTCAGGTTTTCTGAAATCTGTGGTAGCTCTCAGAGAGGCTGATTCAATCAACAGCTGAAAAATATCAAAATATTAACAGTGCCATGTTGTGCATGGGTGGTGTCCCTGTTTGTACTTTTGGTGTGCATTGCCAAGGTCACATCGGAGCCCTTTGTTACGGCTTAGGGTTTATTAATACCTGGCAGTCAGGTTTCGCAAACTCTGTGGTAGTTCTCAGAGAGGCTGATTCCATCAACAGCTGAAAAATATCAAAGTATTAACAGTACCATGTTGTGCATGGATGGTGTCCCTGTTTGTACTTTTGGTGTGCATTGCCAAGGCCACATCGGAGCCCTTTGTTATGGCTTAGGGTTTATTAATACCTGGCAGTCAGGTTTCGCAAACTCTGTGGTAGTTCTCAGAGAGGCTGATTCCATCAACAGCTGAAAAATATCAAAGTATTAACAGTACCATGTTGTGCATGGATGGTGTTCCTATTTGTACTTTTGGTATGCATTGCCAAGGCCACATTGGAGCCCTTTGTTACAGCTTAGGGTTTATTAATAGTAATGAGGCAATTGCTTGGGCTGTTAAACAGTGTACTGAGTACTATCTGTTTCGAATCAAGTTCTTTAACAAATTTAAAAATGAATAAAGTAACAAAAACTATAAAACACAAAAAACCACTGTCATCGCCAAAGTTCGCTAAACCTATCATTTACTAATATTCGTGGTCTTCAGTTGTCTCACCTTGTGATCTTAGTGTTGATGGTTATCTTCCTTTAATTCATAAAGACTCCAATAGTCACATGCTTGGCCTGGGTATTTACATTTGTAAGAATTCACTTATTTGTCAGGAAACTAGGTTTGAATCCACAGAATATTCTTTTATGTGCTTTCGTTTAGCACCACTTCACTCTATCACCTTTCTCTTTGTTCTATATCGCTCTCCTTCATCTCAAGACTGCACTCTTCTTGATGTTATTTTTGATCATATTGACCAAGCCCTCTCTCTTTATCCATCAGCCAATATTGTTGTTGTCGATGACTTTAATGTTAATCACACTGAATGGTTTGGCTCTAGTGTCAGTGACTCTGCAGGCATTAAAGCCCACAACTTTTGTCTTTCTCGATCCCTAACTCAAATAGTCAACTTTCCAACTCGCTTTCCAGACAACTCGAATCATTTACCTTCTCTACTCGACTTATGTCTTGTTTCTGATCCTAGTCAGTGCTCAGTTTCTCCTTAGGTGCTTTCGATCATGGTTTGGTCTCTCTAAAATTATTATCTCGTTCTTCTTTATCATCAGAATCCCCCTATCATCGTACATCTTACGACTACCTTAAAGCTGACTGGGACTCTTTCAGTGATTTTCTTCATGATGGCCTTTGGGTAGAAATCTTTCGTTTTCCTGCTGAATAAATGTGCTTCTCACATAACTTTCATTACTTCCATATCTATGAGCAAAACAATTCTCCAGAAAACAGGCATTTGTTTATTACTGCTAGGAACAATTTTCAAAAGGTTTTGTCTAATGCTAAAGCCCGCTATTCTCAGTTCATGAAATCTCGTATTTCATCACAAAAGATAGGCTCTCTTGACTTCTGGAGAATCTTCAATAGTATCAATAATAAGGTTAAGTCTGTAATTCCAACACTTTTGTATGGTTCAGATTTTGTCACCTTACCTAAAGACAAAGCTGAATTATTTGCTGAGAACTTTTCATTAAAATCATCTCTTGATTCCACTAGTTGCATTCTACCTGATATAGCTGTCGAACAGGTTGATCCATCGCTTGACATTCGTATCACTCCAGCTTCTTTATTTAAAGTGATTCCCTGCTTAGACTCTTTTACAGCTTGTGGCCCGGACAACAAACCTGTTATAGTCTTGCAGAAGTGTTCTCCGGAGCTATCGTCTATCCTTTTAAAACTATTCAATAAGTGCTTATCAGAGTCTTGTTTTCCAGCCTGCTGGAAAGCAGCATCTATTATCCCTATTTTTAAAAATTCTGGAAAGCGATCTGATTTGTCTAACTACCGTCCCATTAGTCTTCTTTCTATCATAAGCAAGGTTATTGAATCTTTAATTAACAAACACCTAATCCTGAATCTTGAATCTAATACCTTACTTTCCGATCATCAATATGGATTTCAATCTTCTCGTTCTATGGCCGATTTGCTAACAGTAATAACCGATAGGTTTTATTGTGCATTAGATAAAGATGGAGAGGTTATGGCCATCGCTTTTGACACTTTGACAATGTTTAATAAAGTTTGGTATGCTGGTCTTCTCCATAAGCTTTCTCCTTACAGCGTATCTGGAAATGTCTTTAAGATTATTGAATCCT